AGAGTAGCCTAGCACAGAGACTGATGTCACGAAGATTAAAGACCTCCTTACCTGTGGCCAACAAGTTACTTGAACCCTCTGTGATACAAGGTGTACCGGAAAAGTTACGGCTTAAGAGGCAAGTGTTCAAGGCACAATATGACACATCTGCAAGAGATTTGCCTGAAGTGAATATTGGGGAACTAATGAGTGTTATGTTTTGTTTATATGCAACTCTATGATTCATCTCTGTGGCACTTGTTTCCTGTGATGCGTTTCCTGTTCCGTGGATTCTCTTCTAAAAACATGACTTCTGTACACTAACGGCTTATACTGTCATTATTACCACATAAAACACTGTCCTGTAAAGTATTCGTGAAAATGCCCAGCATCGGCACCAATACTAGTAATGGCAGGTGAGGCTATGCCTCACTGGTTTGGGAACAGTGTTTTTTGCCACCCCCCTGGAAAGTACATCCCAAGGAAAATGCCTGGTTTCCTTTGCGGCAGATACACCATTGCTATTGCCCACTATATGCTAACCGAGCAGAATCAAGAAAGTCCAAGAAGGTTTCCGACAATATTGCCTCTCTATAGCCAGCAGTTTGTCTCACCAGTCAGCACTGGAGGAACGAAGAGGGGAGGGGCGAATCCCTGCAGGGAGCAGAGACTGACAGTCACCACCCTCTGCAGGGAGAGGATGGTGAACTGAGTGATCAGCCGATTGTGATCATCCAGTTCTTGATTAATAGAGCCGACATGTGACAATGCAGCTGTCAGCTCTAACTATAGGGATGAGTGTATTTCACTCATCCCATAGTTCTCCTTTAGAAAAAAATTGACCCCAAACCAGTATAGTGTCCCAAATAATGAGTTTGTCAAGGCAATTGTATACACTGATAGGATACCAGTGTGTGGAACCTCTGCTACACATAGACATAGCTTAAAAAAATTATCTACCCGCTTGGGGCACTCTTTTCTTCCAGATAGCCTTATAAAATGTGATATTATTTCTTCCATGCAGATGGTGCAGGTTCTGGTCTTCTCTTAGGAGAACACTAGCCTATGAGCTGTGAACATCCAGGGATATTATTCTGAGCAATTTGATTTACCTGGCAGGGTGACTTTATGTTAAAAGGGATTTAAAACCGAACCTGTTTTGGGCTTTAGTCCTCTTTTGGGTTAAAGTCAGCATCTAGGGAGCTACTGCCCTCTATTTGCTGACAGTGAAGAGCCGCTGCAGCTTGGAAAGATCCTCACTATATTGTGGAGATCCACTCCAGTGCTTGATTGACAGCTGGCTCTGCCTCTCTAAGGCCATAACCAGCTGTGCCCACCCCCTCCCCATCTGTTCCTCCAATGAGTGCTGGAGAAACAGAGAGGGGAGAGGGGAATCCCTGTGTGGAGTGGTGACTGACAGCCATTGTTTTCTGCAGGGAGAAGACCATGGGCTAAAACGATCAGCGGTTCGTAATCACTTAACTCTCGATCTATAAAGACAGCATATGAAGTCTTCAGTGTCACATGCGGGCTCTAGCTATTGGGAAAAGTACATTTTACTCTCCTAATACTTCTCCTTTAATGCATACTAAAGAATGTGAATGTGTAACACTTATATTTTTTACCTCCCACAGTGATCACAGTATCCCCCTAAAAAATGCTTTCATCTGCTTTACCCTCCAGAACAACAGCACCACCTTTGCTCAGGTATCATTCGGGTCAGCATCTACTTCCTAGACTGAGACGCTGGCTCAGAGATGACACAATCAAGTACATTTCACTGCCTGTGTGCTTCTTGGCCATGTTCACAAATATCATAGATCCACCGCTGCTGAAGCCCCCCGA